CTTTTCCTTTGTTTTTCTTTCTTTTTTAGTTTAATGCTTTTGTCTTTATTCTTCACTATATTAACGTTTTTTCTACTTCATCTTCCTTTTTACGCTAATGTTTCTCTATATATTATATTTTTATGTTTGGAATGGAGAAGAGGAAAAGTAAGAAAATACAAGGAATAAGGAAAGAAAGAAAGAAAGAAAGAAAGAAGGAAAGAAAGGAGGAAAGAAAGAAAGAAGATAGAATGCATTCATCTTTGTTTTTCTTTCTTTTCTATTTTAATGCTTTCATCTTTGTTCTTCTTCACTACATTAACGTTTTTTTTCTCTTTTATTTTCGTCGATACGTTACTGCTTCTCTCTTTCTTTTCTTTTTTTCTCTCTACGTTAATGATTCTTTAATTTCTCCTTGTAGGGAATGGCTTTTCTCTTTCTTCTTTTTCTTTACGTTAATGATTTCCCTACTCCTCCTCTTCATCCACCTTCCCATTTTTCTTCTTTACGCTAATGATTCTTTTTCTCTCCATGAGGCAATTTTATATTCTTTTTCTTTATGGTTAACGCTTTCTTTCTTTCTTTCTTTCTTTCTTTCTTTCTTTCTTTCTTTCTTTCTTTCTTTCTTCTTTCTTTTTTCACGTTAATATTCTCTTTCTTCCTTCTTTACGTTAACGCTTTCTTTTTTTCACTTCTTCTTCTTCTTCTTCCATTTCTATTTTAGTTTTATTTTCTTATTGTATTTATTAAGCTTATTTCAACAATGTAATAAGCAAGGAGATATATGAAAGTAAGAAGACTGTGTAGAGTCAGTATTTAAAATAAGGAGAGCCTAAAGTGATAAAGGCGAAATTATCTCAACTGAAAAGCAAACTCGTATTCGCATTACTAAATGGCGTTGAAAGATGATTCAAAGAGGAGAGAGCTTGTCGACCTCTCAAGAAAGTTTGCATTCCAAATCTTAACTTTTACCTGAGCTTAACATGACATTTGGCTTCAGAAGGAATTATGTCACTGTTAGTTTGTTTTTTTTTGTCTGGATATTGTCTTTGTTCTTTCTTTCTTTCTTTCTTTCTTTCTTTCTTTTTTCTTTCTTTCTTTTTTCCTTCCATCCTCGCTTCGATCTTTCCCTCGTTCGTTCGTTCGTTCCTCCGTTCGTTCATTCTTTCTTTCCTTTCTTCGTTACTTCTTTTTTCTTTCTTCCTCCTTCCTCCCTTAATTTTTGTTTGTTTGTTTCTTTCTTTCTTTCTTTCTTTCGTTTTTTATTCTTCATTCCTTCCAACCTTCTTTCCTTTTTCCTGAATTCTTTCTTTCTTTCTTTCTTAAATTGTTTCCCTTTCACTTTTTAAACTACCCTCTTCTTCAATGTTGTCCGTTCCTCGGTCCTCCCACTCCCTACTCTTCTTTCCTCCCCCTCTTTCCTATTTGCGTTGACGATGGCCAATACCTGGTAATTCACTTGAATTGATTTCATGGAGCGACTAAGAGAATGGTTCGAAGAAATGGCACGAATTAGCGAGAATCTAAAACGGAAAATAAATCCATGGAACAGAACCGCCCGAAATATGTTGGCTCATTGCCAAGGAAGGAATATTTGCTGATGACAGGTGGAAGGTTGTTCAGACGAAGTGACTTGTAGATCGCCATTCTCGGGGCCAAGTCAATAAATACACACTTACAAAAGTCTATGTGTACTTCAATATCGTTGAGCGTATGTAAAAACCCATATTTAAGCCCCTCGTGTATACAGGAAATAGCACACATACATAGGTTGGATGCCCGCTCTCGAGATGTAGTTATAAAACTCATCTTTCAAGAGATTTTCTGTAAATTGATCTTCAATAGGTGCTCCATTACATTAGCCTTATTCCGGAGTAGATGTAAGAGATAGGAAATGGCTTGTAAATTTTAACGCCTCCTAAACAAAACTGCTTTCATTTAACTACTTTTTCGCCTGGAGAGCAACACACTGCGTCTTCTTGGCCTCAAGTTTTCAACTGACTTGAATTGGAGCGACGACATCGAATCAATAGCTGCATCTACTGCAAGGAAATTTGGGCCACTGTGTCGTGCCAAAAGTTTTTTCTAAACAGCGTCCGTCTTGGACATTTACAAATCTATCATTCGGCCGTGCATTGAATACTGCAGCCATATCTGGTCAGCTGCTTCTGCTATTCATCTCAAGGTTCTTGACAAAATCTAAAGAACGATAGGCGAATTGTGAAGCATGTTTTATCTTGGTAATGAAGATTTTGTTGAAAGAATTCTTTTTTTGGCAATACAATTTTATCAGCAATAGAAGTTTTCCATATTTCCATTCTCTTAGATTATCATCCAAACTTTTACACAGACTTACAACTATTCGAACCGAGTAAAGCATGAGGGTCTTGTCATTGTGGACTGGCGCTACAGAATCACAAACAAAGAGCTGTATCAAATAACTACGTCACTTGAAGACTTTCAACAGTTGCAGCAACTAAAATGGATAGCATATTTAACTCGAAGAGAAACCAATAACATCATCAACATACTGACATCCCACTCTGCTTCAAGTAAAAGGCTAAGAAGGACAACCTCATCAGTACCGGAAAGAGCGATAACAGCTACTGGACTTCAGAAACTATTTTTTTTTCACGGAAAAATTGTTTGAAGAGAAAGATTTTATAAATTTCAACCAACAGTAGTACTGTCCGCTCTGTTAATGAATACCAAATATTCCTTATACGGAATTAGCTAATATTACCATCACCATTAGATAAGGAAATTGAACATAAGCTAAACTAAAGGTAGTTTCGTCCAACACTGTTATAGTAGAACACACCTATTCTATAATTAATAGACTCTCCCACCTATAATAAGTAGTAGTAGTAATAGTAACGAGTCAGGCGCTCAGTCACTCGACTGGCTGATCGGTTGAACTCTCTGCTTTCGGGCGGGGAGGAACCCGAAGGTGGCTACGCCGAAGGGCGGAATCTCTTTCGGGGAGGTAAACCGACCCTGAACCCGTTTATACGGGTTCAATGGGCATATTTTTGGCCGAGCCCACGGGCTCGGAGATCCCACGGGCTCGGAGATCCCACGTTAAACCGGCCTTGTGCCACATGATACCCTCGTGGGGTGGTGACTAAATATCGTTGGTCAGTCAGTCGATGTCGGACGACCGTTAGTCGGATACTAAAGTATCAGCCACCACAACTAGATTTCTCTGCGTCATTACCTATTATATCAAGTTCCTAACGTTTTGTACGTCGAACCTATTTTAGGACCGACTTAGTACAAATACAAGCTTCCACTGTGAAATCACTCCATAACAAACACCCAAGAAGTTACTAAATTAAAATATTAACTTAGTCACTCATGTTCTTAAATAGATTCGTCAGATCGAGACTATCATATGGATGTCATGTACAGCGTCGAACTCACCCAGAAATAAGCCAATTGTCTGCAAACATTTTGGAAGACCTTCTTTCATCGAATCTCGTAGACTGGATCTAAAGAATCACAGAGAACTTTATCAAATAACAGAAACCACATCAACAGCAACAACTACAAAGTATAGCACAAGTAACTAGAAGGAAAAAAATGTTGATATAATGAAGATGTTGACTTTCCGCACTGTCTTAAACAAAAGGCTAGGAAGGAAACTTTCATCAATAAAAGAAAGAGCTACAATACTTAGTGGACTCGAGAAACCTTTTTTTTTCGAGGAAAAAAACTGTTTCAACCCTTTCATCCCTGCGTTCTTGGACAATTTTAACCCTTCTGCCTGAGCTCCTGATTCAAAATTCGCAAATAATTGGTATGTAATGTTTTACGGTAGATTAGTGACAAGTGTTTATCCACCGTTCAACCGGTGGCTGGGCATTATGTCATTTTTCTCTACCACTGTTCAACCGGTGGTCAGGACTCAAATAGTTAAGAGATAGCTTTAGCAGATAATCAACCGACAGCGGTACTGGTTGTTCGGTCATTGAAGGCTGAATTTTTCCTTACAAGGAAACGGTTGACGCTTCCATTAGCATTTCATCTATGATTTTGCTAGAGATAGAAATTAATATATAATTCTCTTTATGCTTTATTTTGACCAATAAATCTAAATTCTAGGTACCTTGTATATCTGAGACTTTTAAAATAACCCCGTCATATCACGATTCTCATATATGTCATGCCTGGCGTTGAACTCGTTCAGATCTGTCTAATATACAGCTATATTCAATTATTAAATCTGTCTCCAAGCGAAAGCCTTAAAGAAGACAACCCTCTATTGCTTAAAGAAAAAAAATCCTTCATCATATTGGGCGCAACCGAATCCAAAAATCTTTACTAAAATAAAATCACATCACATGGAGACTTCCAACACCGGCAACAACTACAATGTATAGCACAAGTAACTAGAAGGAAGAATAATTATGCTGTTGACTTTCCGCATTGTCTTAAATAAAGGAGGAAACTTTCATCAATACAAGAAAGATCGATAACAGTGAACTTGGGAAGCTATTTTTAAGAAAAACTGGTTTACGGGGAGGGGAGGTACTGAAAAGTTGATAGAACCATGAAGGAGTGATGCTTGAACCTGTGAAATATTGCAGGCATTAATTTCAACAATTCTTATTTATAGCCGCATAGTTTCTTTCCAGGTAAACTGACACCTGTCTGTTGAAAGAAAACTTCAAATATGACTAGTATCGACTTGAAAATGGACAAAATTTGTCAGTGTGGTGTTGTCAAGTACCTGCAGAAAAAAAAGGTTTCGCTTCCAAAGACATTCAAGTTGCCATGACTGCTACATTAAATAACACCCCATCTTTATCAACAGCGCAAAAGTTTACAGCTTAATTTAGGAGGAGAAAGGAGAGTCATGAAGATGACCCAAGGTCTAGACACCCTACAGCTTCCTCTACTGAGAAAGAAATATTCATTGAGTTCATCATATGTTAATAGATGAAAGGTGATTGTATAGAAATCAAATAGTTAATGCTGTGTGCGTATCCCAAAGAGAGTTGAGAATATTTTCCATAATT